AGTTCAAAGCTAAGCTCCCCCATTTACAACTTCTCGCATAATCCCTACCCAATGCAACTTCTACCTAGGTCCTCCCTAAATATGAGAAATCATAATCTCACTTCCTAAATCACCACAGTTATATCTAGTTGTCCCAATCCTAGTGACTGCAATGAGTATAAATCAACAAGAAGATCATACTTCCATTATAATACTTAGCCAAGACTCTTGACCAAGAACAATACTTAGAGTTGCTTAAAAGCTTACTCCAATAAAAATACTCACTCTTGCTTCACAACTTCGAGGATAACAATACTCAACTCATTACCTAAAGGTTCCTAAGTGAAAACAAACGTCTACCACAAGTATCAAAAGATACAAGGGTGACTTACATCTACACAATACACAAGAGACTCTCAAAACCTAAGACTATTTTCTTCCCCTAATTTTACAATTGTTGAAAGATAAAAGTTGGCACTTTAGGTTTAGGTCTTCTCTTTAAATACACTTCTTCAATCTACGAGCTTCAATATTTTGAGTCTAGAAGATTCTTAATCCACAAGTTGAGAGTTGTATTTGTTGTGCAGCAAAATCTCCTTAAATCTTGGAACAACCAATACAAAGTTTCCTAAATCGTCTCAAGGATCCAATTTAGTAACTAATGTATAGCTGGAGATATAAAACCTTGTTCTGGATAAAGTCTTCTTGGTATGTGAAATTAACTGAAACATATCCAACAGAAATATTCTAGAATCAAATCAAATTCATGAAGATTTAAAACAGCAGTGCTCGTTGTATTGCAGAACCAGATCAAGATGTCATGGCATCTGCCTTCGACATCTGACTGAAAACACATAACAGTAAAACTGTTACGTCAACTGATAAAGATGCTGCAACATCTTATTCAACAACAACATAGAACCATGTACAGAAACATGCCTAGCCAAAATTTATCCAACCATGACAACATGGAACTAACAAAATATTTTATCCCTCTCCCCCTCGGATTTAGAATCCATAAGCCAATGGGTCCGCATACACATTTTTAGTCGTGTTCTAGAAGCCAAGTTAGATGAAATCACTTCACCTACATAACCAAATTCATGATAAAAGGCTACCAGGTTATTTTTCCAGGTACAAATTTTCCTCGAATAAATCCTCCTCATGATAGCGATACATCCTGGATCTAGTTAAAAAGGACTTTGAGTCTAGTATCTATGAAAGTGATCCTTGAACGTAGATGGGTGATGTTCAGTAATCAAAACTAAGTATTTTTGTTATCGCATCCACAAAGACTGGTGGGATATCACTGTCATTCAATAATTAATAGGTTTTACATAGATAATCAGAAGTTTTTTTGATCATAATTAAGTTTAGAGATATGATAGCTTATTGGGATTGGAATCACCCACCTAGTGCATATGCAGTTTATCGACCACTTATACATAATCTGGTTATTTTTTATTATCCTCACGTATCACTCACAATAATGTTTATGTCTAAACTCTTGATAAGATTTCTACCGGATTGTTTAATCAGTGATTTCTCAATCTATTAAACATTCAAGTAGCATTAAGATTCTTTACTTATAGTGAATGTTTTAACCCTAAGTCTATGTCTTGGAAATACAATTTTAACAAAGTGTTATCTTGGATCAAGATTCAAACTGTATTTTTAATAAAAATTCCAATCAATGAAATTGAACAATAAAAAAAGAGATAACATCGATAAGTATGAATAAAGATATTATATATAATGTTGTAATCAGTAAACGTACATACAGTTATGGTAAATTACATCCAATCCCAAAAAGAGAGAAAAATTAGATATCCATCATCATGTAGCTTGATACAAAATGGAGGAATAGAGATGAATGAGCATCAACATTGATTTCTCGATAATTGATGCGTATCCAACTCGTATCATTCGATCTTTTTCTCTTACTATCTATTATATTTCTATAACACTGGTTCTAAAAAAAGACATCCCATTTGTTATGTTTCTGCCTCTGTTTATAGAAGTGTTCCCTACTTCTTTTGCTTGGCGAGCTCATGCCTCGCCTTGTGATCTACCTTTCTTTAAACAAGTTTTTTCTAACTCATCCACCTAAACCGCCTTGTCTCGCCCGATGAGCAATTAGCTCACTCAATGAGCTTTCTGTCATCTCCCTCACTAGGTGAGGATGAAAAGGTTCTGGTTCTAGAGACTTTCTGCTTTGCTTCTCCTTATGCTCGTTGGGAGAGCTTTCTCGCTGGGCGAGCATGAAGTTTTTTCTTTATAGAAACTTTCTGTTTCTTCTCGCTTGTGCCTCACTTTTGGTTTACTGGGCGAGATCGCTCGGGTCTCGCTTAAGGCCCGCCTAGAGAGCTTAATTTTCTTTTTCATTGTTTTTTAGAGACCAAATTTCTTCCAGGGCCAAAGTACCTATACAAAAACCTTTACATTATGCAAGAATGGGGTTAACACACTGAAAATGAAATCTTATTACTAGTTGAGGGTTTTTATTAAGAATTTTGTTATTAAACATTCAATAAGTTCCATTTATAATGTATGATTCTACTCTTCTTTGGAACTTATCAAACTCTCCCTAACTTGGATGTTTGTTTGTCCTTAAATCAAAGTCTTAAAATACTTTTCAAGTGCAAGAAAGTTTCACCAAATTCCATGATCAACAATACTAATCAATTGAAGGAAATGCATGGTTCAAGTGTAGAATACATACACGAAGGTTATGCTTATCATTACCCTAGAAGAAAAACATGAATATGAAATAAGTTCTAAACATAACTTTTATTTCACACATTCTAAAGCAAAATCATAATCATTCTTGAATCACCCTAACACACTTCTTCACAAAATGGATGAAGAATTTTAAAATTCAACATATTGGAAATTGAACTCTCATCCAATAATCTTACTAACATCTTGATCAATTCATGATTTAATCTATACAATTCATCTTGAAATTAAAAAAGCATAGACCACTAAGGACTTTTAAAGGTTTTTAAATTGGCCAGGTTTCAAAGGAATAGTCATTTATAAGGTTATTGAAACAAAAAGCCAAAGTTAATGAAGAGCATTACAAAATTTTCCATTTTCCACACTTTAACATTTCTTACTTACCTTCCACCCCTCAAAATATTTTGATGCATAATTTTATAATTCACATCACCATCTCACTTTACATTCATTTTATCATTCATTTTCTTTTCATTTATCTCTTTCCTTTTATTTTTCATTAAGCCACTTCTTTTAATTTTTTAGTTTTCTTCTTTTTCTTGTTAATGAAGCAAATTCTCCCAACTTTGAGTAATTCTAACTTTCTTTTAAAACTACTCTTCATTCTTGGAAAAAAGGCATTGGTCATGATTTTTTTTAGGGTTTTGTTTCAAAGAAAGAAATAGAATGGACCAATTATGAACTCTTTTTTATTTTTGAATGAAAGATACAAATTCATCGAGTGGTTTTACTTAGTGATTTGTTTGAGTTCATATTTGATTCATTCATGACTTTTGGCTCAAAGGAGTTTACAAACTCTCACTCATTCACCAGGTAAGATGAGGCTATGTTTGATTTGGTGGTTTCACTCAATATAAAAAAAGCCTTGATCATTTTATGCTTCCACAAATTTCAAAATAGATGCAAGATTTAACATGAATCAAACGATTTAAAATGATAATATCAGCTATCCTGCAATTTATTGAACAATGGAAAATTTCCTCACAATTTATGGTTCATACCTAAGTGATGGAAGCATGAAACATGTTATTATAAAATGATGCATGAACTGATTTTACATAAAGCACAAGGTTCAAATTCATGCTAACATTCTATAAAGCAATAGACATGTGCATAGCTTGTGTGAAATTCATCTAAAGTTATTATCATCACCATTGCATTTTTTTGTTGATTCAAGTGAAACTTGATTATGTCCTCTTTGTCTCTTCAAGCAATTTAGAAGACCAATCTTGAAAACAAACACAAAATTGTTGCAAACTTGACAATATAATACTTGCAAACCAAACAATTTAAACAAACTTAAACAAACTAATTATACATAATCATCATCCAAAAGTCATGGTGTAATCCCAACAAAACTTGAAAGTACAAACACAAATACAAAATAGTGCATACTACAACTTAAATTTAAACATAAGCATAAATATAAATATATTAAATGACTGAAAGCTTTAAAATTTTCACTCAATTATGGTGTGCTTTTAGTCATTGTCACATCCTAGTCATCCTCTATCTCATCATCTCCTAAGCCTGAACATGTCCCTCCTGATTCTGAACCTGTTGAAGTCTCCTCTTCACCTTCTTCTTCATCATCACCATCACCAGCAGCTGTCCCTCCCACGTAAAATGGCCCTACCCCAGGCCATGCAACATTCATGGAACTCCTGTTGAGTTGGAAGCCGGTGTGTATCCTGTGGTTCACATATCTGAAGTTGTAATCTATGCCTAGAGTCATGCATATCCCACATATCCCACATATAGGTGCAAGTGACCTTCATCCTAGGATCCCAATCATCATAATTAATTTTTGTTGAGTCTGAAGGAACTAAGGTTTGACCTGTGTTCTTCTTCTTCTTCTTTCCCATGCAGTGCATGGTAACATAATTATCATTAATGGTTGTAGTTATAGTTTCATGTACTTGACTATGGAGATGAATCCGACTATCCACACATAATGCCATGATGTGTGCGGGAAACAATAATGGACAATTTGGTTTGGCCCCCTGTTTACGACCACTTTCAGCTACCATTTTGAACTCATTTGCAATTATCTTGGCCATATCCACTTGCTTATTTCTCAAGATGAAGTATATGAGATATGTTGTTTCAAGAGGGATGGAAGAGCGGCGCATCCATGGCTTTATGTTATGGAGGATCAAAAGGAAAATGATTTGTGCCATAGGCCTCATATCTTCCCTCAAATACCTCACAACATATCCAGAGGCATTCAAATGAACGTTGCGTTCTTCCAATAAAATAAGGTTGGAAACCTCTTTGATATTTCAACAGAGGTTGACGTGTTTGGTGAATTTACACAACTTCCCCTCTCTCAAAGTAAGAGGGTTTCCCAGAATTTCATTGATTTTATCTCGATCAAATATTAGGTGCATTCCTCGCACCATGGTAGTGAAAGTGAAGGGTTCTCCTTCAGACCGAAGAGAATTTGCATAAAATTCCCTAACCATGTCATAGTTGATGTATCTAGGAGGATTAATCAATTCTCCCCACTTCTTTAACTCAATGATATGTGCGACTTCCCTGAAAGTTCCTTCTCTATTGATGTTAAATGTCTTCTCAGACCATATCTTTCTTTTCTCAAATTCCTTGAACCTTTCTTGTTGTTCAGCACCAAGGAATTGATTGGAATCAAATTTCCTTGGTTGGTGAGAGGTACTGCCTCCCATCTTTTGTTTCTTAGAAGTGGTGGACATTTTTGGATCTATACCTACAAAACAAGACAACCAACAAGAAATACCACCCACATTTGTTAAATTATAAGGGACAATCATAACTTTCAATTATACACATCCAACCATCTAAAAACAAGTTGTACACATATGAGACAAAAAAAATTTTGAGGCTCTGCATCCTCGCCTGGCGAGCTTGTGGCAAAGCTTTACTCTCTCTCGCCAGGAAAGATAACTCAGTTTTTTCAAAAATTTTAGATTTCATTATGAATAACCATGGTTGTTGGTGTGTGTAAACAAGTGTTCATCATATATTTCATGGCCTATGATGGACTAATAACCAGTATATGTCTTCTTGGGTAAAGAAGTTTAATTAATCAAGCACATGTAACATACAACAGAAACCACTTATTAATGAAAAGTATATACATAACCTCTTTATCAATGTAAAGTAAAGTCCATGGTTGATGAAAGGGAATGTAAAAGATGCAGATGGGGATGCTCAAAGGAAAGTTGGCGAGTGAGAGGATATGGTTTCGTGAGTGTTTGCAAGAAAATGAGAGGGAGTGAATTTTAAAAGTAATTTGGTGTTTTTTAAGTCCCACCGATAGCTACAATAAAGTGTTGGTTGTGGGATTGTTACTTTGTGGTAAGTGGCATTTAAATTATTTTACTGGTTCTGCAAGGGACGCCCTACGAGATAGAACGAGCAAAAGGTGAGCTCGCTTGGCGAGGAAATGCTCGTTGGGAGAGCTAACCATATTGCAATTTTTTGCAGTTTTTTCTCAAGAAGAAAATTTAAAATACTTACAGAAATCGGGTTGGAAGCCCTTGTTTAACGTTGTTAGCTCGACGCCTATTCTTTTGAATCAAGGATCATTTAGAGGAATCATTGTGGTGAGCTGATTAACTTCATCACCCTGGTATAACTTCAACCTTTGGCCATTAACAATCCAGTTTGCTTTAGACATTGGATCTTCTAACTCAAGTGCACAATAAGGTTTCACCTCTTTGATTTTAAATGGTCCTGACCATTTCAATTTCAATTTCTCAAGAAATTGTTTGATTCTTGAGTTGAATAACAACACCATTTGTCCGGGTTTAAATTCTCTATTGAGGATATTTGTATCATCATAATTTTTGAATCTTTCCTTATAAAGCTTAGAATACTAATAGGCTTGAAGCCTCATTTCATTAAGCTCATGCAATTGTACTTTCCTCCTTTCTCCATCTTGATTCTAATCAAAGTTTAGGAACTTAAATGCCTAATAAACCTTGTGTTCCAATTCTACTGGAAGGTGGCAAGCTTTTCCATACACCATTTGGAACGGTGTGAAACATATTGGTGATTTGTAAGTTGTACGGTAAGCCCATAATGCCTCGTCCAGTTTCAAGGACCAATTTTTGTTTGAAGTTGACACTGTCTTCTCAAGGATCTTTTTGATTTCATGATTTGAAACCTCTACTTTTCCGTTAGTATGTGGGTGATATGGTGATGCAACCTTGTGTCTAACGCCATAGTGTTCAAGAGCTCTAGCTAGCTGAGATTTGCTAAAATGTGACCCTCCATCGCTAATCAACACCCTCAGAGTGCCTAAACGATTTAAGATATTTTTCTTGATAAATGTGATTACTATTTGTCGTCTGCTTTACAAGATGCTATTGCTTCTACCCTCTTTGAGGCGTAATCAACATCTACCAGGAAGTATTAATTTGAAATTGAAGTAGGAAATAGTCCAACAAAATCTATGCCCTAACAATCAAATACCTCTACTTCGAGCATATTTTGTAAAGGCATCTCATTTCTTTTGGAAATTCCACCAATCTTTTGGCATCTATCTTACTTTTGGAAATGCTCATGAGTGTACTTGAATAAAAAAGGCTAATAGAACCTTGACAGTAAGAATTTTGCAGTAGTTCTTTCACCATTATAGTCACCACCATATGGCGAGTTATGACAATGCCATATAATGCTCCTGACTTCTTCCATTGTCACACATATTATCAACATATTATCAACCCCTATTTTGAACAAGTATAAATCATACCACACATATTGATTAGCATCAGGAAGGAATTTCTTCTTCTGCTGCCAATTCAAGTCTTCAGGAATTAAACTAGTTGCTTTGTAGTTAGCTAGGTCAGCAAACTATGGTCTTTCTTGTACCATAAGAAAAATTTCATCCAGAAACTCCTCAGTGATCTCAGGGTTTACCAACTTAGATAGATGATCTACTTCCAAGTTTTTCGATCCTTTCTTGTCTCATATTTCCAAGTCAAATTAGTGTAACATCTGATTAGTCTGGGATTTGAATCAACTTTGGTGATCAAATATTTGATCGCTGCATGGTCAGTATAACAAACAATATTTGAACCTATGAGGTAAGATCAAAATTTCTCCAAGGCATAAACTATGGCAAGAATTTTTTTTTTATAGTCGCATAATTTACTTGTGCATCATTTAAGACTTTGCTTGCATAGTGTATGGCATGAAAATATTTATTCTTCCTCTACCCTAAAACTACACCAACTGCATAACTCGCGTCACACATAAGTTTAAAATCAAGTTCCCAATCAGACACTATGATTATAGGTGCAAATGTCAATTTTTCTTTCAAGCCATCAAAAGAAAGTAAACAATAATTATCAAAATTAAAAGGCTTATCTTTGTTAAGCAGGTTGCTTAACGATTTTGCAATTTTGGATAAACCTCCTATAGAACCCGACATGGCCAAGAAGGCATCAGATTTCTTTGACATTTAATAGTGGTGGGAGCTTTTCAATCACATCAAATTTTTCTTTGTCAACTTTAATGCCTTTAGAAAATATTTTATAACCAAGTATGATACCTTCGGTCACCATGAAATTGCACTTCTTCCAGTTTAACACCAAATTTTTTTCTACACACTGCTTCAGTACAATGTCCAAGTTATCCAGACATATCTCAAATCAGGCTCCAAATACATAAAATTCGTCCACAAAAACTTCAATTCATTTCTCAATTAGATCATAGAAGATTTCTTACATACACCGTTGAAATGTTGTTATTGCATTACATAATCCGAATGGCATCTGTCTGTATGCAAAGACACTAAAGGGACATGTGAAGGTTGTTTTCTCATGATCTTCTAGATTATTGGAAATCTAATTATATCCAGACAAGCCTTTTAAGAAAGAATAAAACTGTTGACCTGACAATCTTTCCAACATCTGATCCATGAATGGTAACAAAAATGATCTTTCCTAGTTGCTTGATTAAGACTTTTGTAGTCGATACACACTCTTCACCCTGTTATGGTCCTTGTTGGAATTAATTTGTTATTGTCATTTGTCATTACTGTCATTCCTCCTTTCTTTGGAACCACCTGGACGGGACTCACCCAGACGCTATCTGAGATAGGATAAATCATGCCAGATTCCAATAGTTTTAGTACCTCCTTCCGTACCATTTCTTTCATGGTTGGGTTTATCCGCCACTGAGGTTGAGATACCAGTTTAAAATTTTCTTCCATCATAATCTTGTGCATAGAGTATGACAGACTAATTCCTTTCAAATCTTATAATACCCAACCTATTGCATTTTTATTCTCCTTTAGAACCTGAATCAACTTTTGTTCTTCCTGAGAGGATAACGAATTACTGATGATGACAAGTTTGTTACCGCCTTCTTCAAGCAAAACATACTTTAAACGAGACGACATCATTTTCAACTCGAGTTTGGGGTCATCTTTCTTTGGTCCAACTTTTAACTCTTCAATTTTTTATTTTTTAGGATGAACTTCTTTTGATGAATCAAGCTCTTTCAAACAATCTTCAATTACATTTTCATCTTATGCGTTGAGGATGTTAAGTGAATTTGTAAGAGCCCTTTCCAAAGAAGTCAGTATGTGAAATTGTTTTCACACATCCATGAAGGCTTCATGGGTGGCGTCTACTTTAAAATAACCTCCTTTTTCTTTTGAGTGTTTCATGGCCTCAAAGATATTGAAGCTCACCTCTTCATCTTATACTCGAACTTTCATCAAACTATTTTCAATATCAATCATCATTCTCCTGGTTTTCATGAAGCGACAACCCAAAATCAGAGGTACATCATCATCCTCTTCAATATCCATCACCACAAAATCAATTGGAAATAATAATTTATCTACCTTTACCAAGACATCTTCTGCTATGCTAGATGGACGAGTGATGGACTTATCGGCTAATTGTAGCATCATCATCGTATTCTTCATATCCAAATCACTTATCCTCCTAATCACTGATAATGGTATGAGATTTATGCTTGAACCAAGATCAATCAATGCATTTCCAACGTTTACATTACCTATTGTGACAAGTAACACAACTATTCCAGGTTCTTTCTCTTTTTGTGGAAGGGTTCTTTGAATAATTGTGATATAACTTGCATCTAAGTGAATTGTCTCTTCATCCATATACCTTATTTTCTTTGTCAAGATCTCCTTCATGAATTTGGCATATGTGGGCATTTGTTCAAGTTCTTTAGCGAATAGAATGATTAGCTGTAACCGCTTGAATATATCCAAGAACCTTGCATATTTCCTTTCTTTATCTTTCTTAGTAGGAGCATGAGGATACAATATGTGTTGCACGAATGGATTTATCATTTTCCCTTTCTCTTCTCTTGTTTTCTATTTTTCATCTTTCGCTCACCACTCACTTTTCTCTCATCTATTCTTTATTCTTCTTTTCATTTTCAACTAATTCACCCTCATTATTGTTTTCTTATACTTCCTTCTCATTTTCTTCTTGTTCTCCCTCTTATTTTTCTCTTACTTCAACAACAACTCTCTCTCTTTTTTCACATTCTTATTAACTTACATTGTTCTTTGGGATTTTTCTGAGTGTTGGTGGTGAAAGTTCCCCCTTGTTGTTCCACCAGTTGTTTTGCAATCTTCCCTACTTGCATTTCCATGTTTTTGATCAAAGCATCGATATTTTTCTGATTCGCAATAGACAATTGCATAAACTGATTTAATGTATCTTCCAACTTTGAAGTTCTATCTGGTTGAGGAGGATTTTGATTGAAGCTTTGATATTGATTTTGCCTATTTGACGGTACCACATCTTGCATCTAACCT